TATATATATGTATATATGTATGTATGTATGTAGTAATCTATACCTTCATATGGCTCCCCCATCCTAAATAGTAAATGTTCATATCAAAATTATATTGTTTTTTAGCTTAGCTTAACAGGTTTTCAGTGGAGCTCATCTTAAATGCAGACTTTTACTTGTTGGTAAAATGGGGTCTAGCTGACTCGTTTGAGTGGGGCCAGCCTGAGTGAGGAAAGCCGAAGTTGTTCGGCTCGGGTCCCCTCATTGGCGCTCATTTTGATGTTATAAAGGCCCTCGATATTTCTTCCAAACACCGCATGTTTGGACGTCTTACCACCAGCTACCACGTCTTTATACACCTCATTAGCTAGCAACGTGGCGATCGATGGTTGCCAACTTCTTTGTGTTTTCATTTTAGCGATAAATGTAATTTAAAATTTATCATTGGATTAGATATTGCGATTGCCTTAGTTTTTAAGCTATTACACGCACACAACCACACATTCGTACAACCAATCGCGGGTGGTATAACCCAAGATTTAAAATTTAGGTGTTAGATGTGTAAATACATAGGAATTTGGTGGGATATATGTAAACACCTCTTCTTTTAAGAAGCTGCGAACGCAAGGGAGAGACCGCATCTATATTTTATGATATTTTTATACTTATTTTGAAAGAAATGTTTTTGTGGATATGTAAATCATTTTAATTTGGTATGTATATTTATCAAGTGTTAAAATTACCTTTGATATGCAATAAGATGCGTAGTATATACCTATTTTTGCCAATATTTGCTTTATATATGCTTTTATTAAAAGAATAACCAATATTTTTTAAAATCTGTAAATCTTGTGTTTGGAAAATATTACTTTCCGCACGTCCGAACGTCCAACCATTAGGGACCACATTATCAAAGATCTCATCGACCAACGACGTGATGGCAGTGGTTGACCATCCATTTTTTTCATCACTCGAAGCTCTCACGTATGTTTTAGAAGACCCCACCAATTTCGTCTACCAAATTCCCTTAAATAAATAGAAAAAAGGGGCAAATTTTACGATGTCCTAGCTAGCTTTCCGATGGTTCGGCACGTGCGTCGAACTCCCCTTCGCGGCTGCATCCCACCGGCGAGTCCGTCACTGACAAACTGTATCTTCAGTTGGATTCTTCTCATGTGGAGCTTGAGTTTGGCACGGCCCACACTTCTGTGCAGCCGACATCTCTCTTTTGTAGTTGTTGACTTGAGCCGCTACAACCTTGTCGGCTCATGTTTCCTTTCTGTTCGGAAGCCTGGACGGAGCTCCTCGTTATCGTCGGGGCACTGATGGCGTCACGGCGTATAGAGGCCCGTCCAATCCCGCTTGCAAAAGTTGTTTAATGGTTTGATCTAAGCTTAATTTGACTTGGATTTGACCAATTTTTATATCATTGGATTTGTCTCGTCGAACCGGTCTGTTTGACAGTAAGTTAGTTGAATTAAAAGCTTTGGTTGACTCATGAATTGAAATTTGATATTTTTTTTCTCAAAAGAATGTCGGGAGATCCACATCACACCTCGAGATTCGTGCTTGATGATGAAAATTTGTTGCCAACATATCAAACATATTAATATGTTCTATAAATTAATTTTCTATCTTATATCGCTAGAATCTTATTTTGACAATCAAATTTTTTACCATAACAATTCACATGCTTTGACCTCACTGGCTCTCTCTCTGCTCTTGACGCACCACAAATATAAAAATAGAAGCCGAGACCATCTACAAACCACCCAAAGCTTGCTATTTACAAATCAACCCCCCTTCTTCATCCTTTTTTCAAATTATCCCTCAATTATCAAAATTCATGTTAAAACTCCAACACATATTTTTTACTTTTATCAAAATCTCAGTAATTTAACCGTATGTAACTTGTGAATTCATCGGTTCCATATTCAAAGAAATCAGTTGGATGATTAACATATAAATATAAATATTTCGAGAGGTCCTCATGTAATCATCCCAAAATAAAATACACAACAAAGAACTATAATTGTCATTCCCCTATCTTTGCTCCAAGCCTGTCCTTCCCCGCAAAATTCTGCTTTCATTTTGTTTTTTATTAGTGCTTACTAAAGTGTTCCTGGTTTCATTCCACCCACATCACAGGTGTTCGCTTGCTAATTACTTACCCATCAATGGAAGAATCTACCATAATGAAAGAGAAGAGAACCAAGCAGCAAAGGCATCACCTTTTGCCCCACGTAATATCACCTATATTGTCTCCAACAACATTATTGGAGATTTCTGAGAGCCCAACTGAGGAAGAAGAAGAGATGGCTAATTGCCTCATATTCCTTGCCAAAGGTGGCTACAAACCAAAGCTCAACGAAATAGAGGAAGCGACCACCGCCGTGAACCTTACCGGCCGAGTCACAGAGCCGACAACCACCGCCACCGGCAAGACCGAAAATAATGTCCACAAATGCCGAGATTGCAATATGTCTTTTTCCTCACACAAGGCGCTTGGCGGGCATCGTGCTAGTTATAATAAAAAATTGAAGCTTTCGATTCCCCTCGCATCAAAGGTGTTGAATGAATTCCCGTTCACTTCGTCTGTCATGATCAAGGTTAAAAGCCACAAATGTTATGACTGCAGTAGTGAGTTCAGTTCCGGCCAGGCTCTTGGCGAGCATATGCGGAAGCACCGCCAACTGATTACACCGGAGCAGACGAAGAAAGAGGATAATTCTAAGGCATTTTATCTGGATCTTAATCTTCCACCTCCTTGTGATGATTAAAAAGGTAATGGCACAAAAGTGTTTGGAGAGGTAGCAAACGAAAGAAATTTTAGCTAAGTTTGGTGTTAATTTAAGTGCATGTTTTAGTAATTTTGCTCAGCCGATTGCTTGTTAGGATTATTATTATTATTATTATTATTATTATTATTATTATTATTATTATTATTAAATTTTATTGTATTTGTTGCCAAAGCGGCAAAAACAATCCTAACAAGCAATCGGAAGGGTGGGATAGAGCAAAATCACTAAAACATGCACATAAATTAACACCAAACTTAGCAAAAGTTCTTCTCATTTGCTTCCTATCCAAACACTTTTGTGTAATTACCTTCTTAACCATCGCAAGGAGGTGGAAGATTAAGATCCAGATAAAATCTCGTGGAATTCTTCTCTTTCTTCGTCGGCTACGGTGTAATCGGTTGGTAGTGCTTCCGCATATGTCCGCCAAGAGCATGGCCGGAACTAAACTCATTGTTGTAGACCGAACATTTGTGGCTTTTAACCTTGACTTTGGCTAGCGAAGAGAGCAAGTATTCATTCATCACCCCCGACGCGAGAGGATTCGAAAGCTTCGGTTTTTTATTATGGCTAGCACGATGTCCGCCAAGCACCTGATGTGAGGAAAAACACATATTGCAATCCCGACATTGGTGGGTATTATTTCTGACCTTGCCGGTGGTGGAGATTGTCGGCTCTGCTACTCGCTCGCTCGTAATGTTCACTGCGATGGTCGCTTCCACTATTTCGTTGAGCTTTGGATTGTAGCCACCTCCAGCAAGGAGTATGAGCCAATTAGTTGTGTCTTCTTCTTCCTTAGTTGGGCGCTCAGACATCTCCACGGAGATTGTTGGAGACAATATAAACGACATTATTTATGGCAAAGGGTGATGCCTTTGCCGCTTGGTTCTCTTTCATTTCACTATGGTAGAATCTTCCATTGATGGGTAAGAAAGCAAACTGCTTTCAAAGAAATGAAGGGTGAGGAAGGTGAAGACGAGCACCTGTGAGTGGGAGAAACCAAAATTTGGATCTGAAATCTGATGTGGGTGGAATGCAACCATGAACAATTTTGTAAGAACGAATAAAAAACAAAATGAAAGCAGAGTTTTGCGGGGAAGGATGGCCTTGGAGTGAAGATAGGGGGATGATAATTAGAGTTCTTTGTTGTGTATTCTATTTTAAGATGATTACATGCGGACCTCTCGAAATATTAATATTTATAAACTAATCATCTAACTGATTTTCTTGGAATATGAAACCGAAGTATTCACACGTTTCTCGCGGTTAAATTGCTAAGATTTTGATAAAAGAAAAAAAAAATATGGGTTGTAGTTTTAACATAAATTCCAATATTTGAGGGATAATTGGAAAAATGGATGAAGGAGGGGGTTGATTTGTAAATAGCAAGCTTCGGGTGGTTTGTAGATGGTCGCTGCTTCTCTTTTATGTGTGGTGGTGCATGATCGAGCTTAAGAGCGGGGAGAGAGCATTACGGTAGAAAATTTGATCATGTCAAATTAAGATTCTAGAGATATAAAATAGAAAATTAATTTATGGCATATATTAATATGTTAGATATTCATTTCAAAGTTATTCCTTCATATGGCTCAGCAAACCTAAATGGTACTCTATACCTTCATATGACTCCGCCAACCTAAATATTAAATATTCATTTCAAATTTATGTTATTTTTTTAGCTCCTCAACCTTCACTTCTATGAGTGCATTCTTAGCCATCAAAGGAAGAACCCACTATAGCGAAAAGGAAGAGAACCAAGCGACAAACAAGTAACTTTTTGCCCCTCGTAGTGTCGTTTGTATTGTTTCCAACAACCTCTGCACAGATCTCTGAGAGCCCAATTGAGGAAAAAGAAGACATGGCTACTTATTAATACTCCCTATCTAGGAGACTACAATCCAAAGCCCAAAGAAAGAGAGGAAGCGACCACCGCCGCTAACATTACTAGCCGGGGAATCGCAGAGCCGACAATTTTGGAAATAATGCCCACTAATGTCTGGATTGTTATATATACTTTCCACACACCATGCGCTTGGTTGGCACTGTGCTAGCCATAATAAAAAAAATGAAGCTTTCATCGGAGGTGATAAATGTGAATTCAATTCAATTGAGCGTTAAATCGTCCTCTTCACCAGCCATGATCAAGGTTTGAATCCAACAATGCTCGGCCTATGGCAAGGTGTTCAGTTCAGGTCAAGCTCTTGGCAGACATATGTGGAAGCACGACCCACCGACTACATCAGAGCCGACGAAGAAGGAGAATTCGAAGAGATTTTGTCTGGATCTTAATCTCTCATCTCCTTGCAAAGATTTTGAAGATAATGATGCAAGAGAGGGATTTTAACTAAGTTTGGTGCTAGTTATGCGCTCATTAAGTGTGGCTTTGCGTGAGATCACTATAAACCTATGGGGGTTGGATCTAACCTTAATGATTTCGCTCTGCTCATTACTCATTTTGGATTATTTTTGCCGATTTGGCAACAAATGAAGTAAAATTTTGTTGTATTCCTCATACTAAAGTAACAACTTAAATGTGTTTCATGGCATATAATTGGCATGATTTAACAAGATTTAAATTTAACGCACCTGCATATAAAGTACGGTTGAGTTGTGAGATAGATAAATATATATTCGGTGGTATGTATGTAAATATTAAATTTACGAGTCGAGCGCATTTGAATACGTACGTTTTAATCGAGTTGAACGGGAGAATTTGAACATGTTAACGTTCCGCCCGGGCAGTTCCTGTTTGCCTAACTTCCTCGACACTCGACACTGAAAGTGGAGCTTTGCCTTTGCCGAGGGGAGAAAGAGAGACAAAGACAGTGAGGTGAGTTAAGATGCTGCCTTGGAATTCTCTGGCGCTGGCAAGAATAGCTGTGGCGGCGGCGGCGGCAGCGAGC